TAAAAATATTTTATATAAAATATTTATATAACATTTCACAAAAAAAGAATAATAATAAATATTTTATCATAAATATTCTGTGCTGTTTGGATTACGCAACTGTGATTGTTGTTTGTAAGAAAAGACAAGAAAAAAATTATTTCATATAGATTTTATTAAATACATATATATTAGACTGTCGAGGAAAAAAAATTTTTTTTTTAATTTAACTACTTAGGTCAAAAGCTTCCATTTTATGCCACAAAAGAACACCTCTAAATTTTTATCAAAAAATATTAAGATTTAGAAGTCGCTATATATAGTGAACGATTTTTAAATCAAAATTTCGATTTTCCTTAATACATGTTTGATTTGCAAAAATGACTTAAACCAAATTTTAAAAGTGGTACTGTATGTTTTTTGGTCATTGAACATGATGCAATAATTCATTTAATTCTACGATATATGCTTTAAGAAATAAAGCTTGATTAATGTGAAAAAATGACCAAATTTCGAGTTCAAGATCGATTTTAGCAAGATTCCAAGCGTTCAAATGGGTCGTTTATTCCTTTCAAATTGTAGGTTCATTCAGAATTTTTCATTCAGAACAAGATCCAGTTGGAATTTTCCTAGGACCTCCTACAGGGTCTTTAAAAGTTGCATTTAACTGAATTATAAAACATTTTTAGAGGATAGAAACATTTTTTTTACAAGTTCTAAAATATATAGCTTTGTAGTTTTGACATCCTCAAATCAAATAAAGAAGAAAAATAAAGAAGAAAATTTCTTCCCATTCTTAAAAGCGTTATATAATCTAATTAACTTTTAAAGAACCTGTAGGAAGTCTCGGGAAAATTCCAATTGGATCTTGTTCTGGATAAACAGATCTACAATTTGAGGGGAATAACGATCTATTTAAACGCTTGAAATCTTGCTAAAATCGATCTTGAATTCGAAATTTGGTCATTTTTTCACATTACTCGAGTTATATTTCTTAAGGTGTATATATATATCGTAGGGTTAAATAAACCATTTTTATATTATGTTCAGCGATCAAAAAAATATATAATATCATATTTGAAATCCGGATTAAGCCATGTTTGCATCAAATCAAATCTATTAAAGAAAATCAAAACTTTGATTTAAAAATCGTTCACTAGCGATCTCTAAATCTTAATTTTTTTAAAATAAAAATTTAGAGCTGTTCTTTTGGCATGAAATGGAAGCTTTTGAATTAAATGGCCGATTAAAAAAAAAATTTTTTTTCCTTGGCAGTCTAATATAGACATATATTTCTCTTATGCATGAGAGATTTGTTTTCGAAGAAAAATAAATATGACGCACGCGTACACTTGAAGCTATTATGTCTATCACTTGAATTTAGGCATTTATCAAAAATGAAGTGAAGATGAGAAAAGTGTTTCGATATATGCGCATAAGTTCATGTAAGAGACTAATAGTAAAAAAATCGAATAAAGAAAATTTTTTTTTTCCTATTCTTATAGAATTAAAAAAAGATAAAGACAGATAGTAAGTTAAATTGAGATCAAAGTTGAAACATAAGTAAAAATTAGAAGATAAATAAGATAGTAAGTTAAACATTAAAGTTAATTCTGTTTAGGCTCGGTCTCATAAATGTAAGATTAATGTTAATTCTGGTTCAATTTATTCTTTATCTTCTTCTAATTTTTAGATTTAAAAAAATAGAGAATAATGGCTGGTTTATGCTTCGGTCTTAGTCTTAAAAGTTGGCAACATAGTGCCATAAGATTGTTTATGCTTCCCTCTTAACTGTAGTTTTAATTTTAGTCTCAAGACAGTTCCTATTTTTTAACTTTAGTCATTAACATTAAGTTAGGACTAATTTTAAGATTAAGATTAAGACCAAAGCATAACCCAGGCATAAATTAAATCGAGATTAAAATTAATCTTATATTTATATGAAACTAAGGATTAATCTTACATGATGATAGAATTTATGACAGATTTGTTTTGACATTGCAATTTTTATACTCAGAATCTTCACCTTCCTTCTCCCTCACATAAATATATATTTATCTCGTTTTATAAGTACAAAAAAATTTGACACAAACAGACCTTCTAATAACTTTATAAATGTAGAGAATTGTATTGAAATACTTCCATTTGAAAAACAGTATTTGCGAGACAATTGCATTGTGTATTTCAAATATTGGGTTGTCCGGAAAGTTCGTGCTGACTAACCTATATAATTTAATAAATGTATACTAAAATTTAAATCTTCTGCGTTTCAATTTTCCTTCAACATCGGCACGAACTTTCCGGACAACCCAATACTAAGATTGACAATCAATCTTATTTAAATTACAAAATAAGTATATAAAAACTTTCAACCTTTTGATTTTAAATATAAAATATACTTGTATTGCAAGTTAATATTATATTTTAAATCATCCAGACAGCACAGAATATTTATGATAAATATTTATTATTCTTTTTTTGAAATGTTATATAAATATTATATAAATGTTATACATATTTTACATAAAATTTTATTCGAAATATTATTCGAAACGATCAAATATTTAATGTAATATTTGTAATAAATATAAATATTTCTAAGTATTTTTTATAATTATCTTATTAAATATATATTTCCATAGTATTTATAACAAGATTTACAAAATAAATATTTCATAATATTTACAATAAATTATTTATGATTT